AGATAGATAGATAGATAGATAGATAGATAGATAGATAGATAGATAGAAGAGAGAGAGAGAGAGAATCGAAAAACATAGCAATGCAGAATTCATATTCTCCATTCCAAAGTTTGGTGGAAGAGGCTAGTCTTAACCTGTTTTTAAAACAAAAACAGAGAAAAAAATGGTAAAGGTTTCCCCTGTCCAGTCATGTCCAACTCTAGGGGGCATTGCTCATCTCAGTTTCATAGCCAAAGGAGCCAGCGTTGTCCAAAGATGCTTCCATGGTCATGTGGCCAGTATGACTCTATATGCCAAGGTACATGGAAGGCTGTTACCTTGCCACGAAAGTGGCACCTTTTAATCCGCTCATTTTTGCATGCTTTCAAACTGCTAGGTGGGTAGGAGGAGGCTGGGGCAGGAATGGGAGCTCATCCCATCACCTGGCGACCCCTGGCCTAAATTATCTTCAGAGTCACCTGAAGGATTTTTCAGTAGAATACTGACATAAAACCAGGAAAGCTTGAGATGAATGTTCTTTACTGAGAACTTTGAACCCACCGCATGTTTTAAATCAAGAGAAACAAAAAGTATACATGCCAGTCCAAAACCGGTGCCCAGTTCTAGAATGATTTCTTTTTCAAATTGAAGGGTGCATATAGTCTTGAAATGTGTCCTTTACATCTGAAAAAGTTTTTCATTTTGGATATCCAAAGCAGAGGTGGTATTCAGAAGGTTCTGACCAGTTCTGGAGAACCGGTAGCAGAAATTTTGAGTAATTTGGAGAACCAGCAAACACCACTCTGACTGGCCCCACCCCCATCTATTCTCCACCTCCCAAGTCCCAGCTGATTGGCTGGGTCTTCTTTTGTTGCCCTGCACAGGAGAACGGAGCTGGAAAGCAGGTTAGTGGGGTGGGGAGGGAATGGGGATTTTGCAGTAACCTTTCCCTGCCATGCCCACCAAGCCACACAATGCCCACCAAGCCACAGCCACAGAACTGGTAGTAAAAAAAATTGAATCCCAACATTGATCCAAAGTTTTGACTTTGTTCCTCTCTCTTTTTCTTTTTCAGGCAATGTGTTTGTGGTTAGCTTGGCCTTGGCGGACTTAGTGGTGGCCTTGTACCCTTATCCTTTAGTCCTCGTTGCCCTTTTTCACAACGGCTGGTCCTTGGGAGAAACACACTGCAAAGCAAGTGGCTTTGTGATGGGATTAAGCGTGATAGGTTCCATCTTCAACATCACCGCCATTGCCATCAACAGGTACTGCTACATTTGCCACAGTTTTGTATACAATAAAGTGTACAGTTGGTCAAACACGATGTTTTATGTCTGCCTTGTCTGGGTTCTCACCGTGGTTGCGACTGTGCCAAACTTTTTCGTTGGCTCTCTCAAGTACGATCAAAGGATCTATTCGTGCACCTTCGCCCAAACAACCAGCTCCTGTTACACCATTGCCGTTGTCATCATCCACTTCATTCTTCCGATCACCATTGTGACCTTCTGCTACTTGAGGATTTGGATTCTGGTGATACGGGTAAGGAGGAAAGTCAAATCAGAATTGAAGCTGAAGATCAAACCAAGTGACTTCCGAAACTTTCTCACCATGTTTGTTGTCTTTGTGATCTTTGCCTTTTGCTGGGCTCCGTTGAACTTAATAGGTCTGGCTGTGGCCATTAATCCTTCAGAAGTAGCACCTAAAATTCCTGAGTGGTTGTTTGTTGTGAGTTACTTCATGGCCTACTTCAACAGTTGCCTTAATGCAATAATCTATGGGTTGCTGAACCAAAATTTTCGGAAGGAATACAAACGAATTCTAATGTCCCTGTGGATTCCCACACTGTTTCATCAGAACCCTTCCAAAGGGGGAGACAGAAATACGGAAGAGCAAACTTTCTCCTGCTTTAAATAATAATGACCAAATTCATACCAGTACGTTGTCAATAGATGAATGTGAATTATAAATGTGTCCCATCGCATGGAATTGAACTGAGTTGTTTGTACATTTGTATGCCTAAATCTTATTCTGCCACTTCATCGTGATCATATGGAATTGAGTTCCTGACAAAAAAGATTCTGTTTACATTTTTATTCACTAGGAACAATTTTTAAAATGGCTTTGGGATTTGGAAAGTAAACTCAAATTTTTTGTTTGTTTGCTTGCTTTAAGTTCAAAAACCTATGTGGGATTTTGATTATATGGACAGAAACAATCACGATCTTCGTTGAGTTTGTCCAAAATATGACTCTCAAAAACCAGAATGTGTCTCTTAGGAAAGAGGAATGAATGTAGTTTAATGACATTATTTTCTTCTTCTTCTTTAATGATGGTTGTGGTGTTTATTTAAACCTCCTTCAGCTGAATGCTGGTTCAGTCTTATATAGTATTAAAAGAGTAAAATGGGAATAGCAATGTCTATTCCTCAGAGTTGACTTAATTATTGTTTATTATTTATTCATTAAATGTATGTTCCACCCATCTCATTGTCAAATGACTCTGGGTGGCTTACCCAGACTTCATAAAAGATGAGCTACACACATTAAACCATGAAGTTTTCAATAAACAGAAATAAAATAAAACCAGAATACCATGGGGGGGGGGGGGTGGAGTTGGGATCTTCCTCCTTGACCACTAACCACCTCCAACATGGAATGCCCCCATCAGTGTTACGGAAGGCCCAAAAGGTGGAAGATGGCTCTCAACTCAAGAAGCTTGACATTCCAGAAGGCTGGAGCCAATTAAATTAATGAAATTGTCAGCTCATGATAGCTTCATTGTTGTTTTGAATATTGTCAGAATTATAATCCATGTGGTGGGTCTCCAGCCATGAAGAAAGATTCCACTGAAATCAAGTTCAGAGAGACCTTTTCACACCTCTTCTTCTCAAAACCTGGTTCATTGTTGTTGTTCTATTGCTAAGTCATGCCCAACTTCTTGAAACCCCATGGACCATAGCATGCCAGGCTTCCCTGTCCTCCATTGTCTCCCTGAGTTTGCCCAAACCTATGGCCATTGCATCAATGCCAATCAGTCTAGCCATCTCATCCTCTGCCACCCCCTTCTCCTTTGGCCTTCCGTCTTTCCCAACACCAGGGTCTTTTCCAGTGAGTCCCCACTTCTCATTTGGTGGTCAGAGTATTTAAACTTAGGCTTCGGCATCTGTCCTTCCAAAGGACAGTCAGGGTTGGTTTCCTTTAGGAAAATCTGGTTACTCTGTACATAATCACCAATAAATGAGTTGAGCAGTGGGCTTCCCTGGTGTCCTATAAAATCCCAGCCCTCTCACAAATCAGTCAAGGGATTTCCTCTCTATCCCAACAAGTCCCATTCCAGAATTATTATAATCTTGCTGTGATGGGAACTCTAAAGAAATGATAAGCACCACTCTTGAAAATACTTGCCGAGTTTCTACAGACATATCCATAGAAACATTATCCCCCTTCCTAATGGATGTGCTTAAATGTTCCCATGGTTATCTTAAGTTATCTTAAACCAGTAATCATGGCAGACAAAGGGAAGACTTAAAAATAAAATACATATTGTATTTAAAATATAGGTAATCCTAGACTTACAAAAGTTCATTTAGTGACCATTGTTGTGCCCCGCCACCAGCTAGCAGAGCTGACAGCAGTGTCGGACAGTGAGGAGGTTGGGAGGAACATGGGCCAGTGCTGGAGGCTGAGGAAGGAAGGCTCAGACAAGGGTTCTGCGTTAGAGGCAGAGATGGGGTCAGGGCAGTCTGGCAGTTGTCAGCTTCGAAGTTGGACAGCAGTGAGGCGGAGAGAAGCTGGAGCCGGTTTCCAGCCTGCGCATGTACACAGCTGCCAAAAGAAATAGGGATTAAAAGAGGAGCAAAAGGGAAGGGTTTTTTTTTTTTGAAGTTCATTGCAGCAGTGTGAAGATCTGTCTGTGCATTTCGGAGATTCTGTGCCAAGTCCTTCCTTGTCAGCACTGCGTTTGAAAATATTTACTTGGCAGCTCTCCAAGCTAGATAAGGTCTATGCTCCTAATTACACCCTTGAAAGACTGTTTGCCGGGCCTTTGGCTGAAAGTGAATGCCAGAAATTCACCTTCATTTAATAAAAGAGGTTTTGCCGGGACAAAGAGTCTGCTTGGTGCTTTTGGGGGAAGCCTAGGTCAGAACAACCATTTGAAATTACAACGGCACTGAAAAATGGACTTTTGCACACATATGACCGTTGCAGCCTCCCCATAATCATGTGATTTATATTCAGACGCTTGACAACTGACTCACATTTATGATGGTTGCAAGGTCCCGCAGTCATGTGATCACCTTTTGCAACCTTCTGACAAGCAAAGTTAAAGATTTACTTAACAACCGTGTTACTAATTTAACAACTGCAGCAAATCAGTTAATGAACATGGCAAGAAAAGTCGTAAAACAGGATAAGTAAATTTTGGGCTCAATTGTGCTTGTTAAGTCAAGGACTTACCTGTAGATAGTATATTTTTATACATGATTAAGGGATTACAGGGCTGTAAAAAGGAGTTTTAGTGTATTTTATATATGAGAATGTGTTTTTCCGCATCAGGAGGCTCGGTGCCTTCCAGCTGTTGGAATCAAATGTAATGTCTGTGCTCATTAAAAGGATATAAAAGAACTGAAAGATTAAAATGTCATAAATGAAATGTGTCCTTGTTCTTACAACAAAATCAGAGTGTGTTTTTGCTCAGGTTAGGTAATGAATATCCACTGTATTAAGCATGTTCCTTTTTCTCCAGCTCAGCTGTAACACCCGGATGTGGGGACATGCTATATCTTAATGTATTGGGTGCATATTTACCTCACTTTCTTCTTTAATGGATGAGAAGAAGTTTGTATCTCCTTGCTCCAACAAGAATTAGGATGAAAATAGTCTTTTTCCCATATTGTTCAAGGGGAAATTTTTTAGAAGTCTCTGTTGTGGTTTGCTGGCAGCCTGTGCAGACAGCAGCTGAATCGGACAGTGGGGAAGAACGTGGACCAGTTCAAGAGTCTGGAGAGGACTCGGATGAGGGTCCTGCATTCGATGCAGAGATGGAGCCAGGACCATCTGGGAGTGGGGTGCTGACTCCGGAGCCTCCAGAGTCTGGCAGCAGCAAGGCAGAGGAACAAGGGGAGCTTGTTCCCAGTGCGCATGTGCACAGAGCTGCTAGAAGGCCAGAGAAGCTGAAACAAAAGGGGTGACTCAGGAGTAAGTCTGGGAGGTGATTGCCCCTCCCATAAGGTATAAAGGACAGGCAAAGATGATGAAACCTTTGCAGGAAGCAAAGTAGTTCGTTTGGTTCCGATTCATTCTTGAAGCTCTTTGTACGGTTGGTTTTTTTGTTTTGTTCATTTGACACTTCTGTTATTGCCAGCACTTCACAGAAAAGAAAGGTGGGTGCTTATCTCGAGGGACTGTTTGAGATTCATTACCAGCTGGGAATGAAAATAATTCCCAGCATTGCAATTAAACAAGACTTGTTTTTAAAATAAGTGTATGTGTAACAACTAGGTCTAGGAAGCCTTGGTCAAAACAGTCTCACACCCATTGGAGGTATAATGATCCTGTACAGATCTCTTCTTATCTAAGAAGAGAAAAACCACCTACTATGCGGGCGTCAAACTGGTCACATGACGCTGCCATCACGTGACGTTTCTCGATGGTTTTTCCCGTCACGGAGCTGGGATGGGCATGGCCTGAGTGTGACGCATCCAGCCCACAGACTGCCAGTTTGACACCCCTGACTTACTACATCAGTATTTCCCAATTTTAGCAATTTCTAGGTGTGAGTATGGAACTTCAAATCCCAGAATTCCACAGCCAACATCGCCATCCATGAGAATTCTGGGAGTTGAAGTCCATATTCCTGGAAGTCCCCGTAGTTGAGAAACACCGTACTACTTTAAAAGTTCAAATAGGACCCCTTTTCTTTTCTTCATTCAGTGTAGCTTGGCTCAAACACCATTATTGTTCATGCCTATTCAACAATAAACTCCACTGAATTCAATTAGATTTTGTATGGGATATGATAGATTGTAGCTTTTGTTAATGCATTTAACTATTGTAGTTCTAAAGACAATAGCCAGAGAGCTCTTTGTTTTTTAATAAAGACATTTACAATTCTATAAGGGCCTATATGTTTGGGTGGATTGTTTTTTCCTCCCACAATGAATATTTCCCTTGTTGGCATTATCTCTTTCAGGATAAATAAAGCATCAAAGTCAATGCCATTATTACTGTTATTGATATTCTCCATTTCCACCCAAGCCAGTTCTCCAAATGGCTAACGCAAAGAGTTGAAATATATAGATAAAAGCGTAACTAAAATAAGCCATAAATCATACAATATCAGCAGAAACTGAAATGTGGACTGCGTTATGTTTTTTATCAAGGCACTTAATGCTGCAACGTATTTCATTCTGCCAATTTCTTTCAGCTCTTCTTCCTGGATTATTTTCACCATCTAATTCTATTTCCCCTTGGAATCAATAGGCAAGAAATCATTATTCAGGTAGTCCTCGACATACGACCACAATTGAGCCCCAAACTTACATTGTTAACCAAGGCTTAAATAAGATTTGTCCCATTTTATGACCTTTCTTGTCATGGTCATTAAGTGAATCACTGCAGTCATTAAGTTAGTAACACAGTTGTTAAGCAAACCTGGCTTCCCAATGACTTTGGTTCTCAGTAGGTCACAAAAGGTGATCACATGACTCCAGGACACTGCAACAGTCATAAGTACATGTCAATTGCCAAGCATCTCAAATTTGATCATGTGACCATTGGGATGCTGGGACCGACATAAGTGTGAAAACTGGTTGTGAGTCACTTTTTCCAGTGCCGGTATAACTTTAAACTGTCACTAAATGAACGGCTGTAACTCTAGGACTACCTGTTTGAGGGCTTGTCAATGTGATTGCTCTTTGAGGGGGTGAGTCACTACTAGGAATATAGAACATAATTGACCATCTTT